GAGCTCATAATCAAATTGTTTAATATATAGATTTAGCAAAGCCTAAAAGTGATGCCAACCCATGATAAGCGAGAATTTTGATCAGAGTTTTGTAACTTTGCAGTGAGGTTTGCCCTTCTGTTTTGAGTTTGAATACTCTAAGAAACTACACAAAACAAAAGCAGTGAAAAACATTTGTAAACAACTGGGTTAGAGTTAACCCACTGGCCCCGTTTACAAGTTAATCTGATCATGACATGAGCCCATGAACCAATTGAAAATCAGCTCTTGATCAGCGGTCAACTTCGGAAAACCATGTGACATAGATGAGCTATGAGCCTACGATATGGTCGTGTGATATTGGTCAGCGGATACCTTGTTTTGACAGGTGTCAATTGACCATAACATGGATGTCCAATATCAATGAAGGAGTCGTTATAAACCAAGGCTGAATGTCTCTTTCAACCTATTAGCTGGAGCATGGCCACCATCTTGGGCAACTCCTCTGTCACTGTCGTCGTGGCTGTTGTGTGAATGCACCCAGGAGCAATACCGCTAGCCATGATAAACATAAGAAAATCAATTAATGGGTTTGCTTGTCTTTCGTATATGAGTATAGGGCTCCGCTTGGCATCCCCTCAGGCTGCCAGAGCTCCGCCATAAAGATTATAAATCTCACTCATTGGAATGCGAATTGATGTTATTCGTTACAAACCACATACCTTATCTTTGAGGCCTTTCAAATTCTTTTTCCAACAGCTTCATTTGATTTCAATTTATAGCTGCGAAGTTGTTTCATCCAGTGATACGAGAAAGAACGAAGCATAAAGCTTCGACCCCGTCGCATCCATAATGACTGTTGTTTTGAAACTTTGAATTTACTTCCTGTAAGTAGTTGCAAAAGGTTGACATTTTGTGATGTCTTACATGAAACAAAACAGAAAATGCAAACAAACTCTTGAGAGAGTGCAGTATGGACTGGAAATCATCTTTAAATGGTCTTTCAGCCATTTACAATAGCATGTTGAAAGTTGGCGTGTCGAAATTAAAGATGGTCAAAAGATGTTGCCTAATAATTTGCATGTAAAGGCGGCGAAATATGAGATACAAAAACCTTCAACTTGTTGCACAACATTGTTTCGTTGCAAGTTTTGGGTCGATGTTTTGCATTTTTCACCTTGCGTGATCAACGCGAAAAGCAGATCGCGGGTCTAATTTGAGCAACAAATTTTTGACTTTGTAGCTCTTTTTTCATCAAACTCACTTGTCATGCAACAAATTTGCTCATGCTCAAGCAAATCAACCAATCAGTGCACTGCATTTCTTCAACACGCAACAAATGTTTTTGTTGCGTGACAAGTTGATTGGGCAAGGTGAAATACGCGAAACATCGACCCAAAAGTTGCAACAAAACAATGTTGTGTGACAAGTTTAGGGTTTTTGTATCTCATATCTCACCTCCGTAACACTGAAAGCAGGTGTAACATGAAAAAGAAAGAAGGGAGAAGGACAAGGGAACAGGGGGATAGACTGTGATAGATTGGTATCCTGTCCAAGGGGAATGAAAAATACTCCTGGTCACTTCATGTTATAGAAAGCAGGATAAAGCACTGGGAAAAAATATGAGCCCTCTAACTGCCCAGAAACTCTGGAATGAGTTTTGTCATTAATGTGTGGGGTTATAGCACAAATGGTAGGGATCAAGGACTAGGTTTCCCAAGGGTTTCCTCTTTCCTGAAAATGCATTTCCCCAGTATTTTGTAACATTTTTATTTTGCTAGTTTTTCAATATTGGTTTTCAGTGAAAGTGGTCTGCAATAGCAACAAACAAGTGAAGGGAGAAAACCCTTAAAAATAAACATGATAGTTTTGTTTTATGAAAGTCTGTTTGAATAATATTAGACCTTTTTCCATTTTTTAAATTGAAGTAAGCCAAGTGAAAACCGAGCTACCAACACAAAAGAACTGTCCAAATATGCTGTCACCTATGAATGATAATGGTACATGTGTCTTCAGTGACCACTGCAGCAAAGTCGTATGCACATCGCCGCCAGACGTTGATACTGGGCCAATTAGCCATATGGCTGTACAAGCCTTGGTATGCAATCAATCAGTGAAAGCCAATGTTAGCTTGGAGTCATCTTCAGTGAAGTGGTCGCATACATTTAAAGATGGCGAGAAAGTTGCTCTGCCGGATGCCATGAAACCATCTGATGCCCCTGCCAGTATGAAACAATTCTTGATAGTTGAATTGGAGAAACATGGTCCATACAACACGGACGTCCACTTTAAGGTACTGCGTGCATTGCATGAAGATCTCTGAAAATGTTATCTGTAAGACAGCTTAAAGTCTGATAACTCAATTAACTCAAGGTATTTAACAGGCAATCTCGATAACTTCAGATCAATTAACTTGCAGGGTATTTTGTTCAGTTGCATAATTACCAACATTTCATCCCTGGCTATTTTTTCTGCGGGCCAAATCTGACAGGTTTGGTTTGCATAGCTGCCATTTGACTTTCACCCCCCTGCCCAACCCTGTTTAAGCAACTGTTTAGCCAGTGACCATCATGCTCTAACCCAGGGGGGGACTCCCATATAAAAAGGACGGTGATGCTTGTCTGAAATTTTGAAGAGAGCCCCTAAGAGGTACTAAGATCCTGTTTTGTGGCCATGACTTGAAATTTTATTTACCCCTAAGAGGTACCAACTCTAAAGCAACACATTAACTGGCATTGACTTTTTTGGCTAAAATAATATGGTAGAATTCTGAAAGTAATGCCCCCTCCGAAAATAATGGCCCACCGAAAGTAACTTTAATTTTTTCCCTTCCTATTGAACCCTGAAAGTGATGGTCCCCCCGAAAGCAGCGGCCCACCTGAAAGTACTGCCCTTTGAAGAAGTCACTAAAACAGAAAGTCTTTCAGATCTTCTCAGCCGCGGGTCATGCGGATGGGACAGGCTTACTGCAGGACTGAACATTGACTTTAACAGCTATCTGTGATTTTATTTTGAACTTGACTAACTTTTACTTCAAACTATGATTTATAAACTGTATTTGTCTAGCAGTAGAGTCAAATGATATACTGTAGGGCCTTTTTTTTGGATAGTTAAAAACATACATAAACAGAACGTTTAATTTCTTTTGTTACGTGTCCCCTTTGTCTGAAACAACTGTTACTGTACAAACTTTTTGTAACCATCCGAAAGTAATGGCTACCCAAAAGTAGTGGCTCCTTTCGCCTGCTAAATCTGAAAGTAACGGGGGCCGTTGCTTTCGGAATTCTACAGTACCCTAGAAGGTACCATAAAAGCTCCTGTTGCGGACATTTTGATCATTAGGCTGAACAACCCAAGAGGTACCAAAATGGCTTTTTTAACCCCTAAAAGGTATGATGAAAACCCCCATCCTTTTTACATAGGAGCCCACCCCCCACCTCATGGGGCTATAAGTATCAGCTAAGTAAGCTTGGCTTTGTTGCTTAGTTCATATAGACCATTTTTGTGTGCATCATTAGTTTACTTATTGTTTGCTATTTGTTCTTCTATAGTTAGTGCTAATGTTTGATTTTGGATATATGAATTACAACACCACTTTCCTTGAAGGAAATTTAGAGGCTGCTGAATGTGGTAAGGTTCTTACATCATTGCTTTACCTGAACAAAACAGTGTATTATTAAGTGTACATGCATGTAACTGTTAGCTTACAATCATTTCTACTTTTGTGCCAAAACCTATATCTTTACAAACATCTAGTATACATTGTACAAGGAGCAGACTCTGGAGGCAGAGCACATGCAATAAAAGCAATGAATGCAGTAAATTGTTAGCCTGGTACCTGAGCTGCAATCTTAGTTCATGATTCATGCAATAATTAGTACTTTAGTCCTTTCCTGTATTGTAATGAACATTATGATGCCAATTTGAGGCAAGGGTGTGAAAGAAAAAAACAAAACAAAAAAAAACAGATAATGCATGATTTCAAATGTCCACCCCAACCTTGCTCTAGAACCTAGGGAATGTCAAGTGGAACATTTTCATTTATTATTGATTGACATAATGCAACCATTTTCTTTTCAAAACGGTAGAATGCCATGTGACTGTGTTTCCAACACCAATGATATCTGGTGGGGATGAAGAGGACTGTCCAGATATTCAATTGCCAGATGGCAGCGATGGCACATGCTACCTCGATAACCATTGCAGCAAAGTCACATGTTTGTCGCCGCCAGACAGTACTGGGCCATTTAGCCACATGGTCTTGACTGTACAAGCTTATGGATGCCATCATCAACCAGTGAAAGCCAAAGTTAGTTTGGAGTCATCCTCAGTGAAGTGGTCGCATACATTTAAAGATGGTGAGAAAGCTACAATGCCTGACAATATGAAACCACCTGATGTTCCTGCTGATATGAAAATATTCCTTGAGATGGAATTGAAGAAAAATGGTGGCAAAGTTCACTTCAAGGTACAAAAAATAATATATTTTAAGGCAGCTTAAGGCAGTTTGTTTAACTGTTAAGGTCCAGTCTTGCAGTGAGCATTTTTTTTTTTTAA